TATTTTTCAGAAACGTTTTTTAGATAAATACAAATGCAGTAGTTTGAACAGAAGAGAAAATAAACATTTATATTTAGACCTGGACTGTATTATACATAGATGTTTGAACCGCCAAGAAGTGCCAAGATAGATATGCTGAGAAGTGCCGAGATGTGCTTAGATAGATAGAATGGATATATCTCGTTAAATTCTAAGTGAATCAGAAAGAAAACAAACATATACACAAGTCGACAATCTTGAGATCATTTCTGACAGAATCTTGATTTCAGGTCAATCTTATCAGATTCTGATCCTATACAATCAATAATAAGATTCAGACTAGAATGACCTGATCTGAAAAATTTTTCAAGATTCATGGTCACTGATTCTTGGTAAGAAATCAAGATCAGTCCATTCTGATCTGAATCAGGAGATTGTTTGAAAAACACTGATATCTCAGTAACGGCTTCTGACTAGAGAACTCTGAATATACATTCTAAAAAGTCTTGATATCAGCTATAATATGTACTAAAAAAAAGTCCCGCAAAAATGAGTCTCTTTGTTAATTTCAAGTGTATTGGTGAGTGAGTACCCAACTGGCTTTTGATTGTACGAGCCATGGTCGTATGACTACACACCATCAGATTCTGACTGAAAATCTGAAAAAAATGGCTTTTTCAGGAAGAAAGTACCGAAATCAAGATTCCGTCAGAAATGATCTCAAGATTGTCGACTTGTGATACAACGTGTTTCTTTCAACAGCTAGAGCTGCGTGCGACAAATAGCAATTTTTTTTTCTTTTCTATTTTCTTTTCTTATTCACGTGTATATAGTGTGTGCTCACGTTGCAATATACGGTACACATATATAATCTTCATCAAGACTGTTGTCTGTATAGAGGGATGTCACGTTTCTTTCTTTTCCTTAGTGTGTACGAACATTATAGATTTCATGCAAAAAGATAATCGTAATTTAACTCGTGATACCATAACTATAAATACTCAGTGTGCAGGAGGAAACTCATTTTTTGTGTTGGGACAGTTAACATGAATACAATAACACTCTTTAATCTGATCAATAGATTTGTTGACACCGGCTGCTAATAAACCTTCTTGTATTTTTTTTTGGGCGTCACAATCCCGATGACTTGCTATTTCATTCAATGTCATTTCATTTTTGGACAAATTTAGCAGCAAGTTTGTTTCGTTCTCAGACCATCAAGAACTTTTTGCCTTCGTTTTATTCTTGTAACTCTGCGTAGTCATTTTTAACAAAAAAAGTTATTATTATAAAATTATTATTAAGTATTTATTTATTAATCTGTAACAGAGTACAGTAATACCAGAAAAATTCTTTCGTAGGTAAAACAGAGTTCAGATTGATTAGTTATTGCGGCTGAGCAGTCATATGCAAGCGCCGCTATCATGATCCTTGTTTCGATAGAGGCGGTTAAAGTTAATCAAGATTAAATTTAATCGCAATTAAAGATAATCATCTTCTGAACATGATAATCTTTACTCATGATTTTCAAAATAATCGTGCGTAAAGTAGCGGTGATACTACTACTAGTAATTACGATTAAAGATAATCGTGATTATTTGCGTAGTGTAACCATAGTGTTAGACCGGGCAAAGATCATACTTTCACTAATTTTATATTTAAGTCGTCATTCATCATACAAGCACACAAGGCAGGCACGTGCTGAAGATTTTGAGTAACATTTTTTCATCCAGTAGAAGTTCTTCATTTTCTTATAATTCTTATCTTTGATTTTCAAAGTATAGCGATATTAGGAATAAGTAACGACAAATTTTTTCAGGGGAGGGATCGACCCCTGAACCCTCCTCCTCTGAGTATGTGGAGAACACGAGGCGTTAGTACATGTGTTGTATATTATGTATAAGTATATATGTGCTACAAACAAATTGAAACCCATTTTTTATATTCATATTTCAAACGTGAATATAAAAAAACGTACACGTGGCAGTTTTTAGCTGCGTTGTAATGCACAGTCTTTTAGAACTTTTATTTTTGTTATTAAAATGAAAAATCGAGACCGTTCTCGCAAAAAAAGTGAAATAAACCATTAATTTTTTGTAAATATGTAACTTTAGTTGAGTCCATCGGATATTTTAGATTAAGATGGTATTATCTCATTGAAATAAGCGTCCGCCATTTTTGCCCCCCATTCGGAACTTTCTGTCCTCTATTCGAAAGAAAAAATTGAGACCCCTGGTTCAAACTCGAAACTTTAGTCTTAATATGAAATATGAATTCTTCATCTTCAGATGAAAATAGTGAAAATTTCGATGCCACAGTTAAGCTATGATAACTGTAGACCTGAGATTTATGTAGATCGATAGAGGGCAACCTGATGAATCTAAACCATGCAAACAATCAAAGTTGTATTGTTTTGTCTTTTCGTGGTATGTCCCTTAAAAAGTATGGGCAAGGTGCATCATCATCTTTAGTTGATATTCTAGACTCAATTTTGGGCATGGAAACTGCATTCAGGTCTTCTCTTTCGAAAAATTTAGTCAATGTCCTTTTCTCGAACTAATATCTAATCGATCCAATAATAGAAACAAATTTCTATTCTTCCACTGATTAAATTATTAATTAATAATATTAACGATAGTGGCGTCATAAATAAGTACAAATTATTAGCGTGACTTAAAAATTCCCTTTCCATATCGGAATCGATTATTAATTCAAGGTCATGATTACACCTGCTATCAAAAACGACTAAATATTTTTGACAAATAAAACATACATAACAAATAAAATTAACTCATAAGCGGTATTAACTGGAGAAAATGTTAGTGAAATAAAACAGACAAACTCTCGAAATATAAAAAATCCATTATTATCTGATGAATAAAAAACTATTAAAAGCAAAAATTTATTGAATTTTAACATGCGGACGGAATGCAGATCTGCTGGAGACTTGCCAGAGAGAAATATTTAAAATAAAAAATTGAATGAGGTTTGAATTAAATCTACATTCTGGTCCAATAAAACATTGGTAGATTATTACCCCCAAAAGAATCAATCTCAACAGGTAATAACTCTTCTTCTTGAATTTCTACTTCTTTTTGATCAATTTGTTGCTGTCGTTGTCTGATCAATGCCGGTGGTTGTAATTCTTTTTTTGTTGTTTGTTTTCTTGGTGAGGTTACAGTTTGAGGATTTTTCTTTGGAATTTCTTGTTTATTTGAATCGCTTGTTTTCGAAACTTGTGATTGTTCAAATCTAATATTTTTATTTTTTGTCTTAACGCTCTCGTTCATCATTTGTCGATCATGTTCTTTATTTTGAACTATGCTCGATGAAGACACTGTTGATAAACGCCGATTCGCTGATTTGTTTTTTGTTTTCAATTCTAGACAATCATTTATCAAAGTTAAAGTTTTTTCTGTGATTAATGGATTCTTTTCTAAAACTAATTCGTTTAATTCAACAGGATAACGTGTTAATAACGATAACAATAACTAAAGAGTAATCAAACAAAATTAGAGAGCGGACATTAGAGGTAAAATCTTACAGATTACGATTTTTTCTTAATTCTTCAGAATACTTACTACGTTCACAAAAAAGTGGAAACATTATAATTATAAAAGAACGATCAGAATATCGTGGTGTTGCCGTACTAACAATCTATTCCTAGTGCTTTTTTTACCTGTCCAGCATATTCTGTCAAATTACAACATTCCAAATCTACGTACGTCAATGTTCGACTAGAAAAGACCAGAGAGAGAAGATTCAAAACAAAACACGTCTGACATAATTACATTATAAACTAACCTCGATGAAATGACAATTGCTAACATTGACAATGTAACATTATCGATATGATTGTAATCCATTGATAGTCTTTTCAAGTAGGAATTATATGAAACTAAACAAAGAGCTCGAAAATTTATTTCCCACTTCTTTGTTATATTTAACTCACTAGCAAACAATAGTTCTGTCCATCCGGCGCTGGTAATAGAACGATTTGAACTTATATAGAGTTCTTCTAACCCTAAAAAAGTAAAGAAAAATTAAGGATTCGCTGTTAAAAAGTTGATCTTATATACATACCAGATGATTGTTGATCAGTTAACAATAAGGGACACAATGATCCTATCGATTTGTTCGTCAGACAATTATCTCCGATATCAAGTATTTTTAACTTTAAACAATTTTTTTGTAATACAGAGCATAATTCAATAAATTGCTTATCTTGAATATTATTACCATGTATCCTAAACGACAATAGAGATCATCATTTATCATGCACATTTTAGTTAGTATTTACATATTAATCGTAATCGTTATGATCACTAATAAAGTTATGAGAAAACGTTTTCAGGTAACAAATGGTTTTTGGATGAAACTCAATTATAGCCGCTTTTTAATGGAGATCATGAATTTGATATTCGTTCTGATTGTTTTACCATCTTGTAGAATTAGGGTTTCTAAAAACACATCGCGAATGTTTGCGATGATACTTCAGTTTTACAAGATGGTAAAACCATCAGAACGAATACCAAATTCGTAATCTCCATTAAAAAGCGGCTATAATCGAGTTTCATCCAAAAAGACTTTGTTACCTGAAAACGTTGTCTCGTTAGTCGCCTGTCTGCATCACTCTTTTCCTAAACTCTTCTGTATATGTGCTTTGTGTCATATCTCAATGCGGAATAAACGCTGAGTAAACTACTCAGCTATTATCTCACTACTATTCTTCAGCACACAGAAATAGTAGTTGGAACTAGGTAAGAATAGAAAAACGAAATTACTTCTTCTAACAGTAAGCGAAAATATTCGGAATTCGGAATTAATTTACTTACTGTAGGCAAACTAAATTATGAGCATTAGTTAATGACCGGTTAAGTTTTACTAAACGTTCTTCTTCATCTAGCATCTTGATGCTCAAATTTAATGAACACAGAGATCCATTTTTGGATAGTGCCAACATTAGTTCATCAAAATTACTGAAATAAGACAAAATTCCAACATTATGAAATCATAACTTACAAGGAAATATGTTTAACTGTTACCTCGTCTTTTCAGCCCAACCCAGTGAGTTATAGGTAATCGACCACGCTGATTCTGAATAAAAATATGAGAACTTCTCTAAGGCCTTCAAAGATCCGGTTTTCTGGAAAATAAGCTTTTCAGAAACTCTAAAAAAAGAACCAAAACATTTCTTAACGAGGCATAATTGTAACCCGCATATTTCTGATTAAAATGAGATCTCTCACAGCTCTACATGGCCTTTCTTTGCAAAGTTATAGAATTTACAAGAAAAGCCCTAAATGGTCATTGTGAACTCAAAGCTACAGAAATAAGAAGAAATCAATTTAGGGCTTTTCTTGTAAATTCTATAACTTTGCAAAGAAAGGTCATGTAGAGCTGTGAGAAGTCTCATTTTAATCAGAAATGTGGGGCTACAATTATGCCTCGTTAAGAAATGTTTTGGTTCTTTTTTAGAGTTTCTGAAAAACTGATTTTCCAGAAAACCAGATCTTTGAAGGCCTAAGAGAAGTTCTCATATTTTTATTCAGAATCAGCGTGGTCGATTATCTACAATCCACTGGGTTTGGCTGAAAAAACGAGGTAATAGTTGGATATGTTTCCTCGTTAGCTATTCGGAAGCAACGTACCTTTTTAGAATTAAACATCGTCGAAATTCTAACGTAATGCATCTGTTTGAATATAGTGATTGGCATAAAGAGATAATAGATTCGTGACTGATGTTTTCTTCGATATGACTTTCGTTTACATCCATCTTACCGAATGCCTTCTACAATTAAGTTCAGATAAATTATAAAGCTTTGAAACTAACAACCCAGGAGGTTTTGTTCTCATTTGAAACAGTATCCAAACGCGTGTAAACGACGAAATAATAGAAACGCGTTCAGTCGATGCTTAAAATGCATTTTTTAGCCGTTAAATCGATATGCGAAACACGTTTCTAGCATCGATAGAAGGCGTTTCTATTAGTTCGTCAGTTACACACCTTTTGAACGAAAAAAACCCTCATAGAAACTGTTTTAACTCGCTCAGCATTTCAAAACATCCGTGTGAGAGAAAACAAGCGCTCAGAAGAAATAATGTTTTTAGGGGCTTATTATACTTTCATCCTACTACTCGGCTTAAAAATATTTTTTAGATCTGCTTGTTACTACGCGACTATCTAGAACTCATGATTAGCGCACGTGCATAATTGGCGATAAGCGTTTGAAGAGTCACCATCACGATCCATGAATTGGTGCAAATAATTCAACAACCCAAATATTCATCTGACAAGTATAGTGGCGCCGGAATAACATCAACATTATTGGAATGGTATTAAAATGAGCTGTTGCTAAGGAAAGACTGCACCAAAATCAGTTTGTCTCATTTAAACATCAACAAAAGAAAAGCTGTCTTTTTTTAAGGAGAAATAAAATCTTATCAGCACTTTCTATTGATCTAACGTACAAAGGATGCCGTTGCTACGACCTTAGACGTTTTTTTTCGGCAGTTTTTCCCTGGTCGGTAGATCATATGTTAAACATAAGGAATTGCGCGCTAACATAAAAGATATGACACCGAAATTTTAATTAATTTTACGAAATCTTTTTGTTCTATAAGTTCTTTAAGATATTAAGATCATTGTCATGGACAATCTAAGATCGTTACCAGAGGGACGGGATGGAGGAAAAAAAGACCCAAATGTGGACATTGTGACGATGCAGGAGAATAGTATACCGCTCTATGAATTACTGTGTTATTGGTGTGCAGAAGCATGAAATTTATTTTGTGCCGAACAAAACAGCGCATTCATTTATACTATGTCTCTCGTACACCTGCTTTTTGGTAGATTAATAATCCGTATCAAATTCAATCAAAGCAAGCTAAATTAGTTTGTGGTAGAAAGCTCGATGACTCATGCAATCAACAGCAGAATGGGGTATGCAATAATGCACTTTATTTAACAAAAATCTGTGACCACATAATTTCAAGGGATCATCTCTTCAGAAAATGTTTTCCTTTCAAAATGAGTTACGTTAAAATTGCCAAATATCCATATTAATTTTTTGTTATATCTATTGGTTAAACGACGCCTTA